GTCGCATTAGTTTATTCTTATTTCACCTTAAATGTGAACGTAAAATGATGAAAATTTCTAGGGCTAATTCCACTAGAAATCCCAAACTATCCTAAAAGTGTCATTTGTGTTCTAAACTATTCAATATGACAAATCTGGCACGAACGATATGTGTTGCGTGACATTTGTGTCCTAAACTTATCCAATATCACAAATCTGGCACTAATCACATAGATTATGATAAATACTAACGGTCTAAGCTGGTAAACATTAACGAAAAAATAGTTCGTGCCGGATTTTTCATATTGAATAATTTAGTACACAAATGACACTTTTTGAATAGTTTAGACTTTCTAGTGGAATTAGCCCAAATTTCTATCATATTCAATTATACAAATAAAAACACATTAGAACTTTTCCAAAGTCGACACTTGTGAATATCGTTTAATATTTTATACCAATTTACCATGGCAAGTTAATAAACATTTTCTCCATTATTTTAAGCACAAATGTACCCCTTTAATTATTAAAATGTAACAAACGTACCCTTTCGTCCATAATTCCATTAGTTGACGGTTAAATGGGTCAAAGATGACCAAATTGTCCATCACTTATTACATTAATTTCAGTTTTCTTTTTATAGAAATAAGACATAAACAATTTAATTAATTTAGTTTTTCGTACGTGGGGTCCTTTGGATGTTGTGATTGTTAAATAGAAATAAGACATAAACAAATTTGAGCTCAAGATCTTCTTCTTCTTCGATGCTTGAATCTTCCACCCAAGCCTCTAATGATGCTCGAAGATCACTCTAGCACTCTCTCTCTCACTAGAACTCCCCTTTGGTGATTAAGAGAACTAAACTAACTAACCTAGCTAACTACTAACCTAGCTATATACAAGGTTGGGAACTCTCTTGGGTATGAATCCCCCTAGTTCCGTCAATTTGAACGATGTTTAGTACCTATCCTAGCTCGATTGTCTCAATTACTCTACCGTTAGGAGATAAACTCCCTCGGGATTGACCCAGAACGACAAATCGGTGGACGGGTGGTGCTCTATTCAGCCTAGGGCACCCCTATATCATAGGAGTTCGATCCAATCGACTCCCTCGGGGATTACCCGGACAATGTAGGGTGAGGAGTGACCCAAAGACGCCAAGAAAAGGGCTCTAAGAGAATTGTTTCCCTCCTAGGTCAAAAGATCAATTGACATGCTATGGAAACCCAACTCATGCCATTCATGAAAACAACCATCAATTAAGCAAAATCAACAATCAAACATGGAATGTGTCACATACATCAACACCCAGTCAAAATCTAGAACTAGGGTTCTTAATCCCAAGAGAAGAGGGTGAGAGAAGAGAGAGATTACAAATGGGAGAACAAGATCTTATTCTTCGAGACTCGATTCCTTGCTTCCAAGTTTGATCAATGCCTTCAATTAAGCTCCAAGATCATTCAAGAACTCACTCTCTCTAGAAGTCCCCTTTGATGTTTTGGGTCGAAACCCTGGAGAAAGAAACTAATTCCTCTCCAAAAACCAGGTCCCCCTTATCTCTCCCCACTGCTGTATTTTATACAGCCCGAAAGTGTCGACATCACGGTTACTGTTCACGATCGTGAACTCGGAGGCTTGACCTTGATCTCGGAAAAAAACACAGCATTTTGGGCCACTTCACTGTCTGGGGCTTGAGTTTACGGTCTTAGTAACCATGAATTGGTTGGACTCCAGTGAGACGGCAAACCGCTCTGGTAAATGGCCACTTCACGGTGGGGGGGGGGGGTGATTATCACGGTCCTAAGACCATGATAAATGAGTCCAGACCGTAAAGTCATGCACTTCACTCCCTAGGGGTGATTATCACGGTCTCAAGGCGTGACATTTGCCTCCAGCCCGTGAACATTGATCAACCTCCACTTTTTGGCTCATTTTGACCTCCGAATGACCCGAAACTCGTCCCGGACCTTCCCACATGTACTAGGACCTGAAATGTGACAAAGAAGCACAACCTAGCGTAAAATAGGTCGAGGGACGATGATAACAAAATCAAACAATCAAGAAATGAGGGCTAAAATATGTGTAATTGAGCCTGAATCACACCCCCACACTTGAACGTTTGCTTGTCCCCAAGCAAACCAAGTACAAAACAAGTTAAGCTTACAACTTCTTTCATGAAAACTTGGGGCATGTCATAGGGCACTAAACATGTGAATTTCAATGGCTATTAGTCCTCAACATATGGATAACGTTAATAACAATTCTAACAACCACCACCAATGACATTTGAATGCAATAGAACCATGGAAAGGAAGAGTTCTCATTTTGTTCACAAACCAAAACATAACCTGTAATGATGACTCACCAATCACAGTTAACCATGCATAAAGATCACGTCATAGGAACAAATGACCGAGCAAACTAGGTCCTCATTGGGACACATGATAAGAACAAAGCATGAGGAATAAATCACGCACTCTCGACAAGTGGGCCAGGACCATTTTGATACAAAAGATGTGCATACTCACAAAATGCTAGAGCTCACAAGATGGTTGTCGTCACTAGCTTGTCCTGATTTCTTATACACGGGTTTGGATGATTGGCTAGGGTCGAGGACATGGGGAAAAGGTTCTATGGTTTCGACTAGAACCCTCTTCTATAATCAATGACCACTAGCATCAGCCAAAAACCACACTTTCCACAATTCCAAAATACAACCAATGACCAACCCATTCACAACAACCTTTCTTTCTACATTTGCTATTCAATTGCAAGCATAAGAGTATGATAGGGAAACAACATGTAAGTGTTCCTAAAGCTTGCATGCCAAGCAACACTTCTAAGAGCATGTTCAACATTTTATTATTGTTTTGGTGGCCACTCTCTTTTCTTATTTTCCCTTTTATTGATTTCGTTTTCTTTTCTTTTTCTCTTTTATTTGAGGTCTATAGAGAGCTATATACACATGCCACATTTTTTTTAACTTAAGGAACAATGCTCACTTTTAAGAACTACCTCCACGCTCACTTCACATTCTTAGCAAAACCATACACAAATGATTCATGTAGGACCTCAATTAAGCTTAAATGATATGATGGGAGCTTCCAAACACAAGGGTGACTCGACAATGGCGTAGACTCAAAGAAAGTAGGGTTGCTCTATCTAAATCAATCAAGCTCAAGTAGCGAGAGCTACCTAACACGAGAGCGACCCTTAGACACACGGCTCAAAAGGGTTGACTAGGGGATAAGATGTTTGGGGATTAGTCAAATTTTGGGTCGTGGACTAAACCTATGCCTCTATCTTCCTCACTAGTGAAAACGTGAATGCTACACATCATGGTAAGAGAGATCTATCACTCAAGAATAAAACGAGCAGCACAAATATCATATGGCTACCTAGATGCTCAATTATTCATACCAATTTCAAAAATTTTGATCCATGGCAATTGTGATCAATGAGTAATCAATCCCACAAACACATGAGAACTGAACATTTAGACAATCCTAATGCAGATCTCAGTCATCATCATAGGTTGTTCTCAATCACAAACAAGTCATTCATAGATCAATACTAATAGCCATGAGATTCAAAACAAATCTCCAAAGGTGCCACTATGATCATGCAAATATAGAAGTTGCTATGCTTGGAGCCCTCAAATTTTAAAATTTTGGGCATATAACTAGGCTCCAAGCACTCAAAATCACACCAATCATTAACACACAAGCATAATAGACTACCTCCCCCCCCTCCCCCCCCCCACCATTTAAGCTCGACATTGCGCTCAATGGCGTAAAAGAAAGATGTAGAATGATGTTACCGGTCAAGTTGTGAATGTTGGTAATCGGGAGCGGAGGGAGGGTGAGATCCGAAAGAGCGTGAAGATGGCAAAACACCACCAAAAGTTCTCCTTTATCTCTCGTTGTTCTTCCACCTAACCCACCAAGCAATGAAGTTCCTAGAGGCCATGTAGATCCCTTTATCCTTCTCGTCCTGCTCTATTAGTTCTAGAAATCAAATTAACTTAAAGATGATGAGGATGCTTCAGATATAGTAGCACTTGCTTGTACAAGAGAAGGTGGTTTGGCAGAGAGATGCTTAGGTTAATATAATGTTTCCAACTTGTTGTCTTTTGATGTCGATGCTAGGCAAGTGAGTTAGCTGTCTTCTGCTGTTTATACTAGGTAAGTGAGTGGGCCGCCCTTACTGCTAAGGAGTTGATGAGTTGCTCTTTGCTAATATATTGTTTTCAATTGATGACCATTCTATTTTGTAGGGAATAAAGAAATTAATCCATTCAAAGAATTTTATGTTTCATTCAATAAGGTGATTTCTATCTATTTGAATTACTTAACATGATAAATTAGAATGGAGTTTATTGTGGATAAAGAATACCCTCAAAGGTTAAGAGCATCCCCTCTATCGACATCATTTTTTGAGTTAATGGTGTTTGCAGTGTATCTTGGCCAATTTGGTATTTTTGCATAGAGAATGGGTTCATCAAGAATGATGAACAAATAATAATAGTTGGTCGGTCCTCGTGAATGACTAACGGATCATGTTGCTTCAATGAAAACCATAACTTCCTTTATTGATGTATTTGCTTTGGGGTGACTCATGAGCTACAAATCTAGCTAGTTTGCGAGTTGGGCTCAACGAGTCATCAAACCAAGCTAGCATGCGAGCTTAACAAGCTGAGCTGGACCTAACTCAAACTCGACTCATTAGTAAACGAGCGAGCTAAGGGGCCAGCTCATTAGGTAACGAGCCGAGTATCGAACGAGTTTTTCTCAAACCGAGTGCCGAGCTGTTTGTGAACGGCTTCACTCATTTGCCGTCCTAATGTTGGGCACTACACTTGGACCAAAAAGGGAAATGATGGGCTCCAACTTTGAATCTTCATATGGGCCTAAAGTTACAGAGTTGTCTTAACGAGCATATACAAGAAGATACGCTGTGGTGTGGACTCTTACATAAGCCCAATATGTTTCACAAACTGACAAGCATTAGGCAGCAAACGTATTTCCACTTTCGAGTTATTTAAGTTACAAACTGATCCCTTAACTTTCCCACTTTTGCAATAAGGTCATCAAACTGGACTCGAGGCTATACTGCAACTACACATCACAACAACCTTGATCAACTGCACTACAAGCCTTAGTTCCCTCCAAATTATTCATATTCAACATTCAGAGAGACACCTGGCAGTCACTTTCCCTCCCCAAATACTATAATCTGCTAGTTCACAGACCCACATTTCTTTCTAATCTCACCATTCTTCCCAGTAAGAACCCCGACGCTGGACAGCTTCACCATGGAGGCAGCAAAGTCGCTGTAGAATTGGTACGGGTTCGAGCTGTAGGACCTGACCATTTCCCCTGTGGTTGGGTTCATCAGCAGGGCTTGGTCCGAGTCGAGAAGGCCGGCATTATTGACGATGTTGGTGTAGTACGAGTTGTCGAACCGGGTGGTGGTTGAGTCAAGCGGGGCGAGGTTGGCGTTGGAGGCGTCCTTGTTCGGGCACATCCCCTGCAGGCTTGTGAGTGCAGAGGATTCAAGTGCTGGGTCTGGTTTGCCAGTGTTCTTAAAGTTGAATAACCTCCTCTTGATGAGAAAGCACTGTGCAAATCCTAATGTATGTGCTCCTGCAACCAATACTTAATCCGTCTTAGTAACAAATTGGGATGGAAAATGTGAGGTTGCTTCAGCTTTCTCAATCTCAGTCACTGTAGCATTACTTTTCTTTCCTAGGTGGAGAACATGTAACAGATCACAAATTCCTGTTAATTCTATCAATTGATTAACCCTTCTGGGAGGTTTATTTGACCAATGAAGAGTTCCCAGGCATCAGCCAGAGTGAAGTGCAAGAAAGAACCTGAGAGGACGACAACATCCTTAACATCAAGTCCCTTTGAAGTAAACTTTGCTGTGATATCATCCAACGACTCGATAGGAGATGGCAACTCCTGAGCAACTGCAGCTTGGTTAGCAGTCAGTCCATCTCTCCGGCCTAATGAAACAGGCCAGTATGGCCCTCCTGTCTGAAATAGACAAAAAGAACAAACATGGTTCAGAAAAACTGATGAGCATAAATTTAGTTATCTCCTGAAAGCGAATGAACCGTTTTGTGATTTTCCAACACGATTTACCATGACGACAGCTTCTCTTGCTGCTAGAGCCAATATGTCGGTACATGAAACTGTCGATGGACAAGCCTTTTCGACCTCTGCTTTGATGCTGTCAATGACTTCATACCCTCTAGCTGAATTACGATTTGCTGGCGCATTCTTCTCCCCTTTGAAATCAATTGTATCATCAAGGAGTATTGAGCCTTCACATCCCTGCATCACGCGAAAAGTGCAATCTTATCATGAGCAGACACATAAGAGGATTAGCATGGAGTGAAGGATTTTCTTTTCTATAGCCTACAGCATCATTCTGCTGATATCAGAGTTCTACAGTGAAATCAGAAAGGAAGAATGCTTATTCATGCAATTACATTTACTAGACAGTCATGGAAGTGCAACCGCAGGAGGGAAGCAGCGATCCTTGACTCATTCTTGAAAGCTGACCAGACATTATATCGAATAATCATGGCCAGATGAGGGCATGTTTGGTCATAGTAACTGTAATCTAGGCCGCCTCCGGAAGCAGCAGCAGGAAATGGAGCAACCAGATGAAGGGAAGACAAGGTTAGAAATAATGAAATGGTGACGCACAAGAAGTAGTTTGTATAACCCATTTGGTCTTAAGAGTATTATAGCAGGCAGACAGCCAACTCTGAATTCTGGTGGGTTAAGGAAAAGAAAGCAAGAATTTATAAGCCAAAAAGTAGTAGGCCTGAGCATATTTCATTGGCTGGACTTAGAAAGTGGCACAGCCACTACTAACACTTGAAACCTAATCTCCACAACTTAAAAGTATTAGGAAGTGAAGTACCACTGATAAGCTGCTACTGACGTAGAGAGATGGGTAAATTTAAGCAACAAGGAAATGAACCAGAGGGTCACTGTTCATAGTCTGCCACTATTACTTGTTTGAACTTTAAAGACTTTTTTCCACACAAGGTGAGGCCACTAACTAATGAATTTTAACTTTTTTTTATTCAAGATGCAGCCTTTGACACTATGAAAAAGGATGTCTAGAGTGGGAGTGACTCAAGAATGGATTAACACTTACCTTAAAGAAGCGTTTGAAAGTATCAAATTTGGTTAATGCCGTGCCCACTCTCGAGGAAGGTAAGAAACTAGAGCATTTCACTGGGTAAAAGTAGACAGAATTCCCAGGAGCCACAGTAGAATTCAGTGGAACACTTTCTCATAACCAGGAGGTAACTTCAAACTGCAACTCAATGTCACAGTTGCTGTGCAACAGCCCATAGATAGCAGCAGTTTGCAACTTGAACTTCCAAGTTCACCAACAGATGATTCTTAAATGTTTTCCAAATTCCACGTGCTGGAAATACTGACTAGGATGCCATGTTGAGAAACCTGGGAAAGTAATGGTTTTTTAAGTTGAGTCAACTTGCAGAAATTAGCCGGCCAGCAAATACTAGAGTAAAGCTGATACTAAGTTAATCCGCATATTAGCAGTGGAGGTACATTTGTAAATGCGGATTAAGATGTATAAATCCTTTATATATACCTCCACTTGGTATAGTGTAAAGCTGATAACACTGCGCACAGAAAGCATAGAAAAATAGAAGTAGGAATGAAACGTGGGCTACATCACTGGTCCATTGCACTTGGGTTGAACTTCTTCCGACTTTTAGCAAATAAGAACAAGGAATCGTGGGAAAGTAAATAGTACCTTTTGGCCATCAATGGAGTGAAAGCATTCATAAGTCGTTCATTGGTTGAGGGCTGAGAAGCTCAGAACAAGGTTCAGAACATGGATTCTGCAACAGAGGTGAAACCCAAGATATTAACGTAATGGGTTGTATTGTAACTCAATGTATTAGGCGGTTTCCACTTCGAAATTCACAGGAAAGCACGTTAACCCTTGAATTTCTACCGATTGACAGATTGAGAGAGTCCATGTTAAGCTCCATCCAAGTGGGGTTGTTTGGAAGTTGTGATTCTTCAAATTGATGTATTGGTCAATTAGTGTATTATCATTTGATGTATTAAATCAATTGCGGGTCGTTTGCTTTATGGATTTGAAAAGTGAAGGTTTTGGTAAGACCTGGGTTTTGGAAATCCATGGACTTATGAAGGTTTTAGATCCATTATGGACTTTTAAAAATCCATTGTTTGTTTCATGGATTTCATGATGGATTTTGTTTAATGAAATTTGTAGATATTACATGAAATTGACCTTATTGCCCCTATCTATAATTTTACAACGGAAAAAAGACTCCAAATGTGCAACGTATCATCATTAATTAAGCAAATGGTTCATTCTTTGTGCCGGAGGCTGCATTGGAAGGACAAGTGTCGGGGGAGATAAATACTGAACATTAATTGCAAGTTTGAATTGGTCTCCATTTTAGTAAGCAAAGCATAACATAAATCAATTGGGGCGATTACTCGAAGGACATTCTTTTAGCAAGCAAAGCATAACATAAATCAATGGTGGTGATTACTCAAAGGACATCAAGAATGTTGTTTGCTAGAAGTAGAAGGATATGAAAAATGGGAGGATGGCAATGGTGGTGATGTCTTGGTTCTTCGTGCGAGCATTTGTGACTCATAAGGGTCCAATTGGTGATCTTTGGAGCACCTCGCCCACCCATTTCAAAATATAATCATTCAGACCTCTGTAGCCGTGACAAAACACCTTGTATGACATATATGTAGAAATTGAAGTAGGAGGGTAGATTGGCCATTTATAAAAAAGTGAGGACAAACAAGTAAAATACCATCATGGATTTTAATCCATCACTCAATTCCCACCTCCATAGCTAGTTTTTTCAAATCCGTGAGGTCCACGGATTTGGACCTCAAAAGTGCATGGGCCCCATGGATTTACACTCTCTAACTCCTTCAAACAAACAATGGACTTTTGTCAAAATCCATGAACAAAACCCTCAAGCAAACGAACCCTTGATGTATTAGACAAATACTTTGTTTGGAGGTTTAGATTGTGTTTTTGTTGTAAAGGCATAAAAGTTAATTTGAGTGATTGTGAACAAGCTCAACAAAAAGTAGATATTCACAATCCCTCAATTTTGAGTGATTGTGGTGGGGCCTCCAAAAAGTGAATGCATGTATTCTAGTTCAATATAACCTAAAAAAATGACTTAATCTCACAAATACATGAATTAGCTCAATACACCATTTAAATTAGCTCAATACATGAATCTAGCTTCAAGAAATCGCAGACATGGAGATACCCAATGATCGAGAAGTACGACCGAGTAGGGTTGTGGTTGAATTGTGAGGACAACTATTACCATCGTTGAGGCATTTCGTTAAGCACCATGCGTGCCAGCCAAAGCGAACGAGTAACAAGACAGAAAATGTTAGTAACGAGGCAGAAAAATAAGAGTGGCCCATCCAAGTGTCGAATCTAACGAGACAGAAAAAGAAGCAAAATTAAAATGGCCCATACAGGTCTCGAACTTGTGACCTTCGCGTTATTAGCACGAAGCTCTAACCAGCTGAGCTAATAGGCCAAATAATTTACACAATATTTTCCTAGGTGAACAATACGTGATTGCAGCTTTGGTTAACTGATAAGCCGTTCATTGCACATGTTTTTACCCCTATTCTGGAGCCGTTTGAGATGGTAATTCTCGTGTTTTAGGCCGATTTCACGCTAGGTTGTGTTTGTTTGTGATATTTCAGGTCTTAGCAAGTGAATGAAGGTTTAGGAGCGAGTTCGAGGTCGATTGGACGAAGATCGGGCGCGAGGCAAGTCAAAAAGGAGGCCACACGGGCACACCCACAACTCACACGGCCGTGCAAGTGACCACTTTGGCCGTGTGAGATTGTGCGAGCCTTCACACGGCTTGCCCTGATATCCACACGACCGTGTGAAGGAGTGGTTTGGCCGTGTGGAATTATGCGAGGCATCACACGGCCAGGCAGGGTGATCCACACGGCCGTGTGACCCTGGCCGTGTAGGAAGCCTGAAGTGCAACTAATCGGGACGCAGCGTTTTGAAGTCACACGGGCAACTGGGTATGCCACACGGCCGTGTTGCCCTGCCCGTGTGAGTCGGGAATTGCTGGTTAAAACCCGATTTTCAGGAAAAGGAGAGGAGAGAGCTGGGTTTTTGGTTCCCAAACACCCAAGGGACGAACCCTAGAGAGAGAGCGACTTGGTAACATTCTTGGAGCTATTTTGGAGGATTTCTTCGCCATTGGAGCTCGGGAATCAAGCTTGGAGATGGAGATTGAAGATCTAGATCAGATTTCTGCAGTCTCTCTCTTCTCTATGGAGTAACTTCCCTTCACTTAGGTTTTGAGGAACCCTAGTTCCATGAGTTAAGATCTTTCTTGTATGAAGTTTTGGATGCTATATTGTTTGATTTTAATCGAATGATGCATGTTTATTGAGTCAATTGAAGTCTGATCAACTTTTCCTGATTCCTGCTGCAATCTGAGATAGATAGAATCTGATTAGGTTGCTAGAGTCTCATCATTCGGTAGTAGGAGATTGGCTATACGAGAGTTAGCCAGTTTACTGCTTTGTACTGGAATCCAATTCCAGTAGTGGAGTTCTGTGCTTATTGCTTCAGCTTTCTATCCCGGTGAAGACTAGTCGTCTGCCGGATAGTTAGACTGAGAGGGCTTGGTCAGCTTAAGAGATTCCAAGCTACTGTCGGATCTTCCGCAGTTTAATCAACAGTAAAACAACCAAAAGGAATTACAACTTGGACCTAATTGAGGAGCTAGGGGGAATCATACCTAAGTGAGTTCCCAAACTGTAATTAGTAGTTTTACTTAGTTTAGTTAGCAGAGTAGTTTAGTTGATCAATCCTTAATCTTGTTTGCTAGATAATGAACTGAAGCTGAGTAATAGTAACTCTAGAGACCCGTGGATTCGATATTTATTACTTGTGCCACTATACTGCAGTCCCTTTCATTGGTTACACTTGGCCATTGTTAGGTGTTGTGTTTTAGAGCATCAAGTTTTTGGCGCCGTTGCCGGGGACTTTCTAGATTATTAGGAAAGGCAGAAGTTTGTTACTTTAGCGTTTTTATTTTCTTTTCCACCCTTGCTTTTCACTTGGGTGTTTTTTTTTGTTTTTGTTGGTGCAGATCTGAATCATGGATCCTCATGGCTTCTCCAACCATTGGGGGTATCCACCACCATCCGAGTGGTATTACCCCGAGACTCCCTGGAGCAATCAAGGAGGAGAAGACTATGGATTTGGGTTCCAGTACCAACCCCCTTACTACGGAGAACAATCAGACCCCTGGGCATATCAAGAACAACCTCATTACCAAGAAGACTTTCTCCCACAACCAGAAGGGCCATCGGAGCTGGAGTTACCCATGGCGGCCTTCACGGGCCACTCTGCAGAGCCATGCTACACTTCACTGGAAGATCCGAACAAACAATTAAGGCTTCTCGTGGAGCAGTTTGCTCGAGACACTGAGAGAGCATGCTCCAAGATGGATCTTCAAATCCAAGCCCTTGCCTCTTCCGATCCCTCATTTCTCCATGATATGGAGGAGACTATTCAGCGCTCAGCGAAGCAAACAGAGTGGGTGGAGCAAGTTTGCTCACATCTTGCTCAAGATCACCTTTCTGCTGCCATGCTAGAAGAGGTGGAGGATGACAAAGGCTACGAGAGCGTTGAGGAGCATACAGAAGTTATCACAGAGAACTCCCATGATAATCAAGATCAGGAACGTCCTCTGGTTGCAGATCACACCTTTCCTCATTTATGCTCTAAAATGATGGGCCCGTGCGAGGAGATGCAAGCTGATGCCATTGAAGAAATTGCTTGGCGAATTGCTCTCCAATCTGTTCTAGAAGAAGAAGAGCGAGCAAGGATGAGGAAGGAAGTTGTGGAGGATGAGGAAGAAAGAAAAGAAGAGGTGGTTCTTGATCTTTTCACAGGGGAGAGACCACATTTTGAAGAAGGAAGGGGGGTTGAGGAAGCAATTGGCGTCCAGGCTGAGGATGAAGTTGAGGTGGAAGAGGCATGCACCGGCCATGAGTTGCAAGTAATATCCCCACCAAACTTTGAGGAACTGCTTAGCAAGGACCCATTTGCAGTGTCTCTTTGCCAGACCAAGGCCACATCAACATCGGTCCCTCTTGGTGGACGCGATGGTGGCCAATCGATGATGTCATATCTGGTTTGGGGCAATGAGACGGAAGAAGAGAAGAAGAGGTCTCGAGGGTGGAGACTTCATCTGCATCAAGTACATGAGCCTTCATCACCTACCACACCACATGCTCGTGACTTGAGACTCCACCTCATCGACGAGAACCTCAACTTCAAGGAGGTTCTAGCATGGACCGAAACTTAGAAGCCATCGTCCGCTCACGACGTGAAAGAACCGCTTGTTGGGAGGCAACCCAACCAGTCGGTTTGCATTTCTTTCTCTATTTCTCCTCGGTTGAGTCAGTTTTGTTATTTGATTTTAGAGTCAATAACTCAACCTTTGTTAGATTTTGTGTGGTGTTTGTGTTCTGATTACTCTCTCTTTCTGGAATGCACCGCCTGACCCGTTCATCATCATTCACCCTTGATATGGTAACTTCGTTCCACCCTCCTTATCTTTCCTCCATTGAGGACAATGTCGTGCTTAAGTGTGGGGGGGTGTTCGATTATTTATACGGGTGAATGTTTGGCTGTTTGTGTGCTTGGAGCCTAGTCCACTGTCCAAATCTCGAGATTTGAGGGCTCCAAGTACTGCTGTTTGATCATATTGGCACTGTGTTTTGATTGATGAATTGAATGGTTTTCGGATTGATGCATGACATCTTGATCGTGACTAGGAAAACCTATGATGAGGACTGAGACGGGCAGTAGAATTGTGTAGGGGTTCAGTTCTTTCAACTGTTTGCTTACCAACTGTGTCTTGATTTAATCACTTGTTCTTGACAGTCGTTTATGCATCTAGTTCAGGGTATCAGAATGTGAGATAGAGCATATAGGTAGCCATGTGAGATTTGAGTCTGCTCGTTTCTTTCTTGTGCGATAGATCCCTCTTCCATGATGTGTAGCATTCACGTTGTCACTAGCTAAGATGATGGGGGCATAAGATTAGCCCACGACCAAATTTGACTGTCCTTATGTGTCATATCCTCTAGCCAGCCCTTTTAAGCCGTGTGTTATCCTTTCTTTTGGTCTGAAATGAAAAGATCACCCTGTTTGCATCTTTTAGAAGGTTCCACAGAGTGATTTTTACATGTTCTCTGCTGTTTCTGCTAAATATAATGTGAGAGTTGGAGGTAGTTCTTAAAAGTTGGGCAGGTGTTTGAAAATGTGCAGAGGTGGTGGTTCACTTAAGAAATGAAAAAAATGAAAGAAAACAAAGAAAAAAACTGAAAGGCAAAAGAGAGCTACCACCAAAAATATGAATAGTGCCCATTTAGTAGTGTTTCTTAGCAGTCTGGCTTAGAAATACTGGTATTTATGTGACCTCCTTCGATCTTGTGCTCTGAATTTGAGTAATGCAGAATAGCAGAAAGAAAGTACTGGTTTGATTGACTGTGAGTTTGTTGGGTTGGGAATTGTGGAACCTTGTGCCATGAATACTTCCACCACCTAAAAGGCTTTTTCCCCATGTCCAAGACCCTAGCCAGTCATTTGAACCTGTGTCTAAGACCTCCTGATTAGTTAGTGATGACAACCATTTATATGAACTCTGACCTTTAGAGGCTGCCGTCATGGTGAAGAGATGTTAGGATTTGAGAGAATTAGTATGCGCATTTTTCTCATCAAATTGTCCTGACCCCACTGGTCGAGAGTGAGCGATTCATTTCCTTGTTCTTTACACTCTTTACCCGGTGAGGACCTAGATTGCTCGGTCTCTATTCTGATATCTTGAGTTTTATGCATGAGTTGACTGTCTTGAGTGAGTGATTGAGTCAAGTCTATGTTGGTTGATGAACAGTAGGGAGACTCCTCCTTTACTCGATTTTGCTGCATTCGAATGTCTTCTGTGGTGGTTGTCCAGGTTGCTATTAAGGTTGTTCATGTGTTGATGTTTGAAAACCAGTATGATTCACGTGTTTCTATGCCTATATGATTTGTCCCCAATGTTGGTTGATTGAAATATGTGAGCTTACCTTGTGTCTGACTTGGTTTGCTTGGGGACAAGCAAACGGTTAAGTGTGGGGGAGTTTGATAAGCCGTTAATTGCACATGTTTTTACCCCTATTCTGGAGCCGTTTGAGATGGTAATTCTCGTTTTTTAGGCCGATTTCACGCTAGGTTGTGTTTGTTTGTGATATTTCAGGTCCTAGCAAGTGAATGAAGGTTTAGGAGCGAGTTCGGGGTCGATTGCACGAAGATTGGGCGCGAGGCAAGTCAAAAAGGAGGCCACACGGGCACACCCACAACTCACACGGCCGTGCAAGTGACCACTTTGGCCGTGTGAGATTGTGCGAGCCTTCACACGGCTTGCCCTGATATCCACACGAAGTGTGAAGGAGTGGTTTGGCCTTGTGGAATGATGCGAGGCTTCACACGGCCAGGCAGGGTGATCCACACGGCCGTGTGACCCTGGCCGTGTAGGAAGCCTGAAGTGCAACTAATCAGGACGCATTGTTTTGAAGTCACACGGGCAACTGGGTATGCCACACGGCCGTGTGGCCCTGCCCGTGTGAGTCGGGAATTGCTGGTTAAAACCCGATTTTCAGAAAAAGGAGAGGAGAGATCTGGGTTTTTGGTTCCCAAACACCCAAGGGACGAACCCTAGAGAGAGAGAGAGAGCGACTTGGTAACATTCTTGGAGCTATTTTGGAGGATTTCTTCACCATTGGAGCTCGGGGATCAAGCTTGGAGATGGAGATTAAGGGGTCGTTTGCTTCAAGGATTTGCATCATGGATTTGGTACCAAAAAACCAACTATTAAGGATTTAAGTACAATCCTTTGTTTGCTTGGTCTAAAAATATTGAAACAAATCCGTGGGCCCCACAGATTTAGGTTTTTTTTTCACTCCAAATCCGTGGGGCCCACAGCTTTACAAATCCCACATGATTATTAGGGAATTGGTGATGGGCTGAAAAACCAAGAGGCCAAATGACACTCCTATCCTCATTCTTTTTTATTAAACCAAAATTGCCCTCTTCACATCCACCATATCTGCCGCTTTCTATTCCTTCTCACCAAACCGGGAAACCTGTCGAAGCTTCCCTTCCTGGAAAATTGCAGCCGACCCCCAAACTCTGACTGCATCAAGCTCTGACGGCGTGACCTCCTTTTGAAGCCGACATCAAACGCAGGGACCCCGTGACCTCCTTTTGCAGCCGACATCAAACGCAGGTGAGCAGCCTTCTGCTGAGTCCATCTTTGTCGCTTAGCTTTTGCAAATCAAAGTCAATTTCATATTTAAAAGTAGTGGATAGTGGATATGCAGATGCTCTTTTATCATTTATGAAAAGGATGGGTTCCAGTAGTGTGTTATAGAGATTCCTTTTTTGTTTTTTCCTTCAATTTACTTTTTGATTGTAAGGCTTGGAGCTAAAGGTTTTCTAGGACGAGTATGAGTTGTGTTAGTGATGATTAGCAACAGATATGTGTTGTGTAGATGTGTTAACATGGTGATTAGGCATATGTGTTGTGTAGATGTGTTAACATGGTCATTAGGCATGCCGCTGCTTAATGCTGTAGCATTTGGATATAATTTGGATCCGTGGAGTATGAGCTAGTTGCATATGCTGTAGCATTGGGTGTTTTTATCCTTCAAATTCATCTTAATTGGTTCCTTTCTTAATTGGTTCCTTTCTTGATTGAGCCGTTCACTGTTATTCTTACCAATTGGCCTGCATATCTGATGGTCCACCATCACCTGAATCTATCGTGGATTTGGAAGGATTTGACTCACCAATTGACCTGGATTCTCAAAGGACCACAGAGATCATGGATGACTTAATCAACGAAGGTATTGAGCTGCAACATCCTGCCTTTTCACCTCCGTTTGATCCAGTAGGTGCTCCAGCCACCAAGATTCAGCCTTGTAGACCAAAGAATGCAGCTGCCAGCAACAAATGTGCTAAGAAGAAGGCAAAAAAAATTGAAATTAACACTGATGAAGCTATAGTTAATGTCTCATCCCAACTTGGTGAGCTGAAGCCAATAATCTTCAAGGCTGTGGAAGCTCTTGGCTCCATAATAGGTGATCGTGATGGTTACAACAGTAAGCAAGCTGCTTTGATCAAGGAGATAGGGAAAATTGGAGGACTCACTCGTGACCAAGTCATTGATGCTGCTATGGCTTTAGTGGACAACGAGCCAAAGACTCGACTTTTCTATGCACTAGAGAGCGAGGAAGACCGGTGCTACTTCATCAGGAGCTTGCTACGTTGACATTAGTGGTGTAGGATTGACTTCCTAGTCTATTTTGCAGAACACATGTGGGATGTATGCGAAACTTTTTTGTTTGTGCAAGGTTAGCTCATGCTGGAAGTTTGGCGGTGGAAAACCATCATTTTGCTGAAGTTTCCTTTCATCCCAAATGTTATAACTGTGTTAGACTTATGATTGCTGGTTTTAAACGGTTGTGAAAGCTATTGGCAGGAACCTTCTTTATATTCTTCTGATATTATTAATTTTTTTTGTTTCGTCTTCTAGAAAGTTGCAGCTGGCTCAGTTTGGCTTGCATCTAAACTAGAGGAAACTCCCATAAGAGCAAGGCAGGTTATCATTGTTTTTCACCGGATGGAATGCCGCAGAGAGAATTTGCCCATAGAATTTTTGGATATCAATTCTAAGGTTAGAATCAATACCGCATTGCATTATGTCCATCACAGCTTGAGGTTCGTGTCTGCCTGGCTGCTAACAAGGAAAGAAGGGGGAAACGCATAGCAATGGCAACACCTTCCTTTAATGGGTTAAAAAAAGGGCAATAAGGTAAATGCAATTCTTTATTTCTAAATCCCAAATTATTAAATCCATGATCAAAATGAAGAAACAAACAAAGGATTTTTTTCAAATCCAAAATGCCCCAAATCCCAAATAAAACCTTAGGTTTTTAAATCCCACGTTTAAGTGAAAACCCTCATTTTACAATCCTTGAAGCAAACTACCCCTAAAGATCTAGATCAGATTTCTGCAGTCTCTCTCTTCTCTATGGAGTAACTTCCCTTCACTTAGGTTTTGAGGAACCCTAGTTCAATGAGTTAGGATCTTTCTTGTATGAAGTTTTGGATGCTATATTGTTTGATTTTAATCGAATGATGCATGTTTATTGAGTCAATTGAAGTCTGATCAACTTTTCCTGATTCATGCTGCAATCTGAGATAGATAGAATCTGATTAGGTTGCTAGAGTCTCATCATTCGGTAGTAGGAGATTGGCTATACGAGAGTTAGCCAGTTTACTGCTTTGTACTGGAATCCAATTCCAGTAGTGGAGTTTTGTGCTTATTGCTTCAGCTTTCTATCCCGGTGAAGACTAGTCGTCTGCCGGATAGTTAGACTGAGAGGGCTTGGTCAGCTTAAGAGATTCCAAGCTACTGTCGGATCTTCCGCAGTTTAATCAACAGTAAAACAAACAAAAGGAATTACAACTTGGACCTAATTGAGGAGCTAGGGGGAATCATACCTAAGTGAGTTCCCAAACTGTAATTAGTAGTTTTACTTAGTTTAGTTAGCAGAGTAGTTTAGTTAATCAATCCTTAATCTAGTTTGCTAGATAATGAGCTGAAGCTGAGTAATAGTAACTCTAGAGACCCGTGGATTCGATATTTATTACTTGTGCCACTATACTGCAGTCCCTTTCATTGGTTACACTTGGCCATTATTAGGTGTTGTGTTTTAGAGCATCATTAACCTTCCTCTTTTCGTATTTTATTATCTTGTATGTCAATTCTCCTCCCTTTCAGTAATCATCTTTTATCCTTCATTTTTTCCTGGCTAAATTACACATTTGGTCACTTAAATTATACAAATCTTTCACGTTTGCCACCCGAATCACTTTTCTTTCTTATTCGCCACTAACTTTATGAATCGTTTCACCATTAATCACTGCCCTTCCAATTCCGTTAAAATCATCCTATGTGGCAGTTAACCAAATCCTTTGACTGTTAGTTTGATGATGTGGCAGTTTTAAATATGTATATATTTTCAAATTAATAATAAATATAAAAAAATATAATAATTTCAATCCGCTACCAACTCCATGCTCCGGCCCAGCACCGACGTGGCAAAGTCGATCTTGTCCTCCGCCGACCCCACTCACCGCTTCATCTCGTCGGGGATCGGAGCGCGATTGCACTCCTTCAGCAAGTTCAAGATCATGCCCTCCATCGTCGAGTTGTCGTCGGCGTGAAAGATTCGCTTCAGATCGCCGATTTGGGATGCGGCAAAGGGCAATTTCGAGATTATGGTCCGGGCAGGACCTTTTTGGCATTCTTCTCGAGGCCGGGGGACAAATCGGGGAAGCAGAGGAGCTTGGCAGCGGAGCAATACGCTGGGTGCTGAGTGGCGAGAGCGTTTTGGGTGGCGAACTTGGCGAAAGTGGCGGACTAGACGACGTTCATGGGGGAAGCCTTGGTGAGTAGGAATTGGGAGTTGGGAGGCCGCTCCGGATCTCCTTGTTACAACATCGAGCCAGAGCCGTCCAATTTCATCGCTCCCGCTCCAATTACCGACCCGACCCAGATGTTACTCCTCTCGCTCCGTTTCGTCCTCATTTGAGGCCATTGAAACAGTATTTGACCCGATGGTGGAAGCACTCCTCGGCAAGCTAAATTGTCCACAAGTGTTCGAAATTGAAGAGGCCTCGTTTTCTCTCCGGAGAAAAACCAGGGGCAAAGAAAAGGCTTCCGTCTATTTGTGCACTCCAGCGATTCTCTCCGCCTTGCGAACCCCAATTTCATTCAGTTGAACGACGTCGCTTCTCTAGTCTACCTCTTGTTGCGAAAGTAGAACAAGGTGAAGATTGTACGGTCAAGACTTCTCCCGCCGTTGATTGATGGGTTTCCCGAGGTTTCAACTTTGCTCTTGACGATCACAACAAGACGGTGATTGGTGTTTTGGGTGCATTCCCGCTGCTCTTGAATTTGCTCCGATCAGGGACTGAGCGGATTCTGGACGACTCGGGTCTAGCTTAGCAAGAAGTGGCGGAAGGAATTGGTTAATTGACAGCAGGCTAAAATCAATATATACTTTTTATTATTATTTAATTTGAAAAAAAATGCCATGTCATCAAACTAACGGTCAAACTATTGGGTTGACTGTCACGTAGGATGATTTTAACGGAATTGGACGGACGGTGACTAATGGTGAAACGATTCGTAAAGTTAGTGGCTAATAAGAAAGAAAAGTGATTCGGGTGACAAACGTGAAATATTTGTGTAATTTGAGTGACCGAACGTGTAATTTAACCTTTTTCCCTTAATAAATGTGTTAAAAGGGTTACTCATAATAAAGTATCTAAAGCCTTTCAAGCATAGAATTTTTGTTTGATTTTTTCGTGCTCTAACATTATTTGTCACTCACACATTCCACTCTCAACATCCACTTTTTATACTCTTTCACATTTTTATACTGATCTAATTGATGAAGTGTAGAGAGGGTCATTTCTGCGGTTCTGCCTCTTCATATGCCTACCAAAATAATCCCACAAACAAAACTCAAATCAGTACCCACAAATGTTCTTCCATCGATCAAAGAGTATCTTCAAATAAACATAAGTAAGAATTTGGTATTATGAAGTCCTTTATTCAAAACATAAGTGTTATACAGTAATAGAGTGAACCAAAATTGCTTCTCAACCAAAGGAAACCCCAACTCTAGCCACCACCCTTTGCATTGTTGGGTCAGAAGAACATACCAACTTTCATACTAATACATAGACCAGTAGCACACTATACACCTCATGAAACTTATTTGATTCCAAGAAGGATTTCTCATCTCTAAAACAGGCGAAAAATCATTGGCACCATAAACCCCAGGTCAAAAGAAATAGAAAAAGATCCCTTCTTACCTCTCAACCTCTACACAAATCCAGGAATAGAATTTTTTTTAAAAAAAGGAAGGAAACAGAACAAACAAAAATGGAACTGTAAGACTACTTGTCGACAGAAACACCTCTCAAAAGTTGCATGCTTTGTTTCTTTCTCATCATAGGAAATGTGAATCTCATTCCACCAATGCTGCTGCAGGAGAAGCCACCATCAATGGCTTGCCTCTTCCCATGGTAAACCCCCTGGTTCCATCAGGCATTCTTGGACCCTTTGTAGCGTTATGTTTAACTGACAATGCTGCATCAAATGCACTGCTGCTGCTGCTGCTGCTCATCATAGCCTGTGGAAATGGCGAGAGAAGCCCTCTCCCGCTGCCATGGCTTTGCAGCCTTCCACCTCTTCCCTTCCCTCTCCCTCTTCCACATCCCGCCTTCTTCGAGGATCCCGAATTTTCGTCCAACTGTATCAGAATTAGACTGAGCTCGAACAAGGGAAGAATACAGGTTTAATTAGGATGATAAGATGACGAGAGATACTTACATTAGACTCAGAAGTGAGATCTGCAGTGTTTGGGATAGAGATATCATCGAGTGAATCAGAAAATGGTCCCTCTTCATCGTCCAATATGCCTTCGAATTCTGACTTCCTGCTCTTGAGCACCGATTTGGGCTGAAATTATTTTGCACTCAAATGAGGGATGCCAAAATCTTTCCCACGGGATTAAAGATGCAAGTAGTAGTTTGGGAACTTACAGAGCATCTGAGGAGCAACCTGACTCGCAACCCTTTCCTCCAATTCCTTTCATCATTCAACTTCTCCACCTGATCAATCACAAAAGCCTGTAAACTTGAGGGCAAGAGGCAGAGAAAGCTTATGCGCGAAACACTCTATATATACATATTAGAACTTAGAACAAGTGGGCTTACCGCTTTCTCAGCTACATCTGGTGTGTCAAACTCCACTAGCGCATGTAGCTTTGATTGATCAAAAGGGAAATGAGAAGATTCGTGAGTAAAAAGCCCTTGCCATGTTTAGAAAAAATGAAGATTTGATTGAGGAAATTACATAATACCTTGTTGCTCATGAAGAAATCGCTTTTAGACCGGGACGAGTTAGATTCCTGAGGATGGCAAATCCTGATTGTTTTGACGCTGTCGAATGACAACAACAAAACAAAAAAAAAACATTAATATTAAGCATGAACACATTGATCATGAGGTGGGTTTCTAATTAGGAGACATACAAAATTCCTGAAAGTTATGGAATTTTAAGATACCTTCCAACAACACCAAATATCTTCTCAAGGTTTTGATGAGAGTGATCCTCAGGCAAATTCTCCACTACCACAGTACGAGACTGCAATTCCTCTCTCTCTTTTTCAGTGAAAGGTATCTTACGTTTAACCCTCCTTGCATCTTCATGCACAACCTTTCCTCCCATTATCCCAAAGCATATAATAAGGATTGAATTCAAGGGGAAGAAAAATAAATTTTAAACAACCAAGAAGACGATCATTGGGAACTCACGAGTTTGGGAGATGATTTGAGTGCCTGAGTGATCAAATGATGGTTACTGGTAAGAGACTTCATTTTCTTTGTGGAAGCAATCACAGAGATTGGCACTGTTGCAGAAGCCAAAAACCACACAATTCAGAACACACCAAGAATATTTTGCATGAATTAGATAATTATATGGTAGAACAACGAGTCCAGACTTACCATAGCCTTCGGGATCTTTGCTCAGGTGCTTTGACATGGATTCATTTGCAAGAAGACTCATATCGCTGAACTGGTATTCCGCCTGATTAAAAACAGGAAACGGTTTTGTCAAAAGGGTTATGCAGCCATTGAAATTCTGCATAAGGGCATCAAGCATGAGAGCTCAAGGGAATTTTTCTGACGAACGAAATCCACTAAGATGTGATATCCATCGTTTAGGCAATTTTTTCCTCTACCCAATGATAAAAGAAAAAAGTTTCAATCGAAACTTTCAACGGAGAAAATTGGATCGAATTGATCCATAAGTGACGAGAAAGAGGAAATGATATGTAACCTGCTTGACAATTTTTTGACGGAGCTCTTCGGTGAGAACCTGGGGAGAATCCTTGTTGGAACAATTAGGTAAGGCGAGATTCGGGTTCGAGATCAAATAAGCGGCGGCGGCAGCTGAAGAAGCGTCCTGGTCACCGAGGAAGAACCAATCGGAGCCACCGGCAGCGCCCAGGTAATGAAAGCAAGGGTAGAAATATCCGGAGATTGGGGGCATCTGTTGCGCAGCTGCGGCAGCGGTAGCAGCCGCGATAGCTGCAACGCCGGTGGAATGCGATCTGGGTACGAACTCGGGAGCCTGAGCATTGAATTTGAACGACGCGGCCGCCGCCGAGGCGCTGCTGCAACCCGTGGCGTCGCTGCCGGCAGAGGGGGTGGTTGGCGGTGGCTTGGCATTTTCCTTCATCATCGCCGTGATCATCATCTCCTTATTGTTGTTGCTGATGGTGCTCTGCAGAGAAGAAGAAGTTTCTTGGTCGATGACCTTCTTCTCCGGATGGGCTTGCGCCATGATTGAAATTCAACGGAGCGATTTTTTTTTTCTTATTTTTTTTATTGATTAGGGTTTTGGGTTTCAGTTATGGCGAATCTGGGGATCGTTTTGATGATCTTGCTGTCTCTCTCTTTTTCTTTTTTTTTTCTCTCTTTCTTGGCGGGTGTTCCTCCTGAAGAACAGTAACTGTAATGTTGAGTGGGTTATTGAAAATCCACCTTTCCCGCGCAAATAAAGGGCTTCTTTTTCTCGTCGAGGAAGAGAGAGAATGGAATTATTCACCAAAAAAACAAAAAGAGAGGATGGAAATGTTTTCATTGACCACAAACCGTTGCTTGAGGGGATTTGACCAGTCCCTCCCATTTTTGTTCAGGGGTTTGGAATTTGCCAATGTTTTTTTTTTCTTCTTACCATTAATGCTCTCCCCTATTTTCTCTCCCTACTCTCATCATTTCCCATTCCCTTTTCTAAAATTAATATTGGTTTTAAATTATTTTAACTGATGAATTTTGTAAAATTAGGATTTTGATAAATTTATAGATATGTTTGTTTCCAATAAAAAGAAAAAAGAAGGAAGGAAATGAGATAGTAGTCACAAATAATCGAACCTTCAATTTATCAGGAGAATCTCGAATTCGTGTTGTTTATTCTCTCTAAATCGACTTTTTGATTGGGTTTCCCTTAAATCATCTCTTGGAGAAGATAGCTAATGATTTAATACAATGTTTTGAGAGTTCATTTTCAATAAATAATTTGCTCACATGCTTAGATAGTTATCATAACCATTAACCATGGTAGTCACATCGACTTTTTGTCGGTCGGTATTTGCTCGACTTCTTGTATGTCACCAAACCAGCTGGAAAGGAGTCAATATTTAGCCTTGGTCAAATTTGGTCAACATCGAGAATATGTTTCGGTTAGAGCAAAAATTGAATTTCACTACTTTCACACATGTCATCCAAAATAAACATCCTTCATGGGGTTTAAACTAAGTACCTCATGTTTACTAGTTTCAATTATACACCAATTGAAAGAAAGAAACCCGCCGCATGCCCGTGTACTGTACACGCAGACACCTTTTATTGTACAACGTGACTGAGATTTACTGTTTCAAACTGGCGTGGGCTGGCGTGTGGGTTGTTGTTGGGTGAGGCCTCATTGGGATCTGACGGAGTTTGGGGGCTCGGTCGGGGTGGGACTGGTCGTTGGCTTCTGGTTGGCCTTAGTTGCGGTCGTTTGGTGGCCCAGACGCGCGTTGGTCATCAGAGATCGGTATGTGACTTTGCCCCTACCCGGCCACGTGGGACGGGGCCTTCAGATGTGCTCAGTAAGTCTTGCGTGATATGATTGTGTCTGTTAGGGATTCCTAGAGGGTCGTGTTGGGCTGTTGTTCGCAGGACTGTGTTGGAGAAACTTGGCGGCTGATTGGCTGGGGGTTGGAGGTGCTTTGGGAATGGTGGACAATTGATTGATACCGGTTATTCACCTGAGGGACGGGGCCTTCAGATGTCCTCAGTGAGTCTTGCGTGATATGATTGTGTCTGTTAGGGATTCCTAGAGGGTCGTGTTGGGCTGTTGTTGGCAGGACTGTGTTGGAGAAACTTGGCGGCTGATTGGCTGGGATTAGAGGTGCTTTGGGAATGGTGGACAACTGATTGATACCGGTTATTCACCTGAGGGCGGGAGGGTGTCAAAAAGTTTACTGCTTCCAGCTCTGTACACGTCATTCAGTGCCTCGATGCGTGCGCTCAGGTGGAGAAGGGTATTTCTCATTCTTTTTGCACAAGATGACTCATTCTCGGAACGCATTTCCCTCTTTTTCTTCTCCCCTCTTTGTTCTCTGTGGTTCAGTCGTTGTTTTCTCGCCTTTTTCCTCACCATGGATGCTACTCTGCTCTGCAATCTCAAAGGAGGTACCAGAGAGGTGACTCTGAGGCTTCGTCTGCTCCATATGTGGTTTGCCAAGAATCCTTCTGGGACAAGGGTGTTTAATCACTGTTGCCTCTGGGTGGATCAGACGGTGATTCTCTTACGCTGATTCTTTGTGATTACAGTGCTTTCTGTTTTTTTGCTCTTTTTTTTCCTTCTTTGCTCTTTCTTGACTGTCTTTTTTTGTTTTTAATTTAAGGTATGCTCATTCAGAGCCTGGCTGATGTCTCTATTGGGTCTGAATTTGAGCGTGTGCTACGCGTGGGAGTTATCTACGTTCTTAGGTCTTTTGGTCTCAGTGCCGCAAGGAATCTCTATCGTGCTTTCTCATTTGATCTGATAATAGAGTTGTCAGCAACAACTATTTTCCAGGCATGTTCTCTGTCTGCAGCTGAATTTCCAACTGATTCCTTTGAGGTTGTTCCTTATAGTGAGCTGTCTAACCGTTCAGGGGACAATCGTATCCTTGCAGGTGATTATTGCATTTTCTTGACTGATTTGGATTGGGTTTTATGTCTTCTTACTGCTCTTTTTTTTCGGTCAGATGTTGTCGGCCGTCTTCATTCTATTAGCGGGATTGATCATCAGGTTACTAATCACGGCTCGACTCCAAAACAAGTTCTGGTCCTTGAGAATGCACAGTAGGTCTTTCTGTGATTTTATTTTTGCACTGGGGAATACTGTATCGTCACCTTCACGTAAGATCTGATCCTTTGTTTTGCTATCAGGGGCCAGAGAGTGTCAATCACACTTTGGAATGAACTGACGGCAGTCCTTGATCGACCTGCTTTGATTCAGGCGGACTCCATTGAGCCAGTGATCGTTGGAGTTGGGGGGCTCATGGTTGGTCGTTTGATAGGTGTGTATTTTAACTCTTTTCCATTCTGCTAGATCATAAATTGTGAACTGATTTTGTTTTTGTTGTGCAGCCGGTGAATATTCCTGTTCGAGCTCCTCTGGAACCCGAATAGTTGTTAGCCCAAGGATACCAGAAGCTTACAGCCTCGCTGCTTTGTGGGTTCTTTGTTGTTAAACTGTGATTTTGTTGTTCTGGATTTGCTTTGTGGTGTTTGGTTTGCTTGACTTTTTTGTGTCCATCTATGCAGTTTTGGTGGATCCAGAGTTCCTGTTGCTGATTTACCGGTCAAGTTTGCAACCCCAGGGGACGCTGTTGCTGATGCTGAGCGGAGAACCAGGACCATAGCTGAGCTTCTTTATTTGCACCATAGCGGTGCTTCTGTCGTGAGTTGCATTTCGATGTAGTTCTTGATTTTAGACTGGTCTTCGGGTTGTCCATTTATTTATGTTTTTTATTGCTTTTTGGGATTATCAATGTTTATATTCAGGATGAAAAGCATCGTTGCGGTGGTATAATCCGATCGGTTGAGTCCCGGAGCCCGTGGTATTACATGTCATGCAACATGTGCAGAAAAAAGTGTTTTGCGTGGCGAAATGGTAACTACTGGTGTCCTGACCATTGGGAGATCACTGAGCAGCAAGTGACAATTGGGTGTGTGTTTTGTCTGATCATTAGTTGTTGTTTTTGTTTATTTCATTGTGTGCCTGTCAGGTCTTAGAGAATTTGCCAAATTTTTTGAGTTTGCACTCCTATGCTTGTCCTGATGGAATTGTCTCTGCTTTTTACTGTGTCAACGCTAGCTACAAGATCCAATTGACCCTGCGTGATGCCACTGACGAGACCCCTTTCATTTTTTTCGGCCCGTGTGGGAACAATTTGGTGCTCACATCTGCCCAACTGCTTGCCCAGAGATATCCTCACAGGTATGGCCAGTTGCCGCCTGAACTTGAGGCTTTGCTCGGCCAGTTTGTCAGGTTTGAGGTCAAGCTTCCAATGGTTGGGTCAAGTGGAGTATCTACGGGTGAATTCCGTGTTTTTCGAGTTATGCCCCGTGATGTTCAGGGCCCAGTGCTTGGTCTTACAGGAGTTCCAGATGTCACAGGCAGTGTTTCTTCGTCCCAAACCCTAAGTCAGTCCTATTCTGGTCAGGAAGGAATGTTGATGTTGCCTGCTCCAGGTGTACCTTTCGCAGCTTCAGCTTCTGCTGTCATACCATCTAGGTGAGGGTTGTTTGCTCTATTGTTATGTTTGTGTTAGTTAATTACGGGGGTTTGGGTATGGGTTTGGGTTTTTCTTTGGTTAGTCTGATTATTTGTCTTTGCTGTTACAAATCTAGCTCATCCAAAGGAAAGGAAAAGGTTGTTGACTCAGTGTCGCCTGGAGGCACGAATCCAACATTCCATGTTGGCCAGGTTGCAGGGTTGCCTCTTAGGTAACACATTTGAACTGTTTTACTTGATTTGGTATTGATGCATTAACCTGTGCTTTGTTGCTGTTGTTGCATGGTAAATACTTATGTGCTCATTTGGCTCTTGCAGTTCATCTCAAGTGCCTTTGGTCATCAAGGAGAATGCTGTTGTGTCCGACGTGATTTCGCCAAATTTACTGCCTCCTGTTTCATCTATTGCACCTTTGCTTTCTGTTGCTGATGTGAAAGGAAAAGGACCAGGTCCAGGGGCGACTGTTGTGGCAGCTCCTTTTACCATTGCAGATCCTTTGAAGGTCTCTAATATCCAATCAGTTGGTGTTGTGAAAGGTGCAGTGGGGACTCCTGGAACTCGGAGTGATGGTATGGATGTGATGAGTTCTACTAGCCAGGGAGTACATGGATTGTCATCCATTGCTGGGCTGAGTTCTGAAACTCCTCAGAGTAAAATCAGCAAGTCATCTTCGGCGGTTTCGCCTTTGTCTTCAAGGAGTTTGTGAGTTTTTTACTTTTAAACTTATCGTGTCATGGTTAGTGTGCAGTCGGAATTTATTGATTTGGTCTTTGACAATGCAGCTTGATATCACCTCTGGCTAAGGTGAAGATTGAGAAGCTGGAATCTTCTGGAACTGGATCTCCTAATGTGAGGCAGGATGATGAGCAAGCAGAGAGTTCGTCCCCTTTTTCGCTTGCTGACCAAGCTTCACACCAGGCACCTGGGAAGCCTTCTGCTGCTAAGCGTCGCCTGTATGAATCTTAGGGTATAAATTCGAGTCTGATCCCTTCGTGTGTTATTTATTAGTTTTGAATGCTGATTGGTTATGTTATGTACTGGATCTAAGTTATGCTAGGTGCAGGAAAGGTGGTTGCCTTTTGTGGATGCTTGATTTGCTGCAAGGAGGCAGTCTTTTTGATGGTGGGCAGGATGATTATGTTGCTGATCGTTTGAAGTTGTGCTGGTTGGAGGGTTTGCAGCTCTTTTGTAAACTTCTTGGGAACCTGTTTGTAGACTTTGTTCTTGCCTTGCCTGGCCATTTTTGGAAACTTTGTGGAAATTATGTTGTTGGTTACTAAACAAAACTAATGTTACTTCGGGTATCTATTTATGTGGTGTAAGTTTTAAGTGCATGTAATTCTCTGTGCAAGATCAGGGTGGTCAGCTTGGACACCTGAAATGTTGTGACCCCAGTGTGGGCAAAATTCTGGCCTTTTGGTCCCTCTTTTGTAGAATGTGGATGCTCAGCAGTTTTTATGCATTATCAAGGAATATAGTTTTTATCTAAGATGCCTGTGTTTTACATTTATGTCTTAACTGTATGTACATGCAAATATAACAAAAATGTTCTTTACATCATGTGATGGGAAAGAGTAAGCATTGTCCACAAGAAAAATATGATAAGAACAGGCGAGATTAGTAATGGATAGCAGACATCCTAATATTAAAAGGAATCTTTTGGGTTGCAAGATTTAAATAATTTGGGTTAATTATGTGCCCAAAATCTAAAGCATTAAATGCAAAAGCCATCATTGTTTACCCTTGGTTACAGAACCAGCAGTCACAATGACTACTTGGATAGAGATTAGACACCTAATATAAAATTATATATTGATTGTATAATATCTTATTAAGGAACACATCAGAAATCAAAGAGATTTCATCAATGGACCTTCAACTTTCTCTTTGCCCTCTGGTTTTTGCTCCTGTGTTGAGCAAATAGTTCTGTTTGTGTCGACTTTTTCCCTTCAGTGGAGTATCAGCCAGCTGGAGTATACAGCAAGGTAAGACCTGCTGATCAGCTATTTGGAGCTACACGCCAGAGACACACATCATTGGTGATATAGACCCCGTCATCAGATACAGTTAAGCATGTCTGTATTCGTTATTCCTCAGTTACACATTAATGGAACCTCTTTAAATGATTTGGATCCTCTTCTTTGTCTATCTGACCAAGACAGAACACTGAAGTTTGCAGTTATTGAACTTTTGTTTTTTGCTCATTTAAGTCTGACTGGATATCAAACATTTACTTCATGTAATCAGAATGACACCTAGAAAGAAGAGAGCGCCTTCCAACCTGCTGAGGCGAAAGAGAGGTGACACTTCTTTCACAATCGAATCCTCCAAGAATACAACTCACAGCTTTACAGATATGAACGTGGATAACACCAGAGTAAACAAGAGATTGAGAAGCCTGTCGTTCATTCTCTCAGGGGAAATTTCAAAGTCGACAAATGCTCACAACAGTGAGTTCGTTCCTCCAGATCCTTATACAGAAATGGGTGATAATGAGGCATCTTGCAGTTCAGCTACAAATGATCGTCAATGTCAAAAAGCAAAGAAAGCATCAGCTGATGTCCCAACTGCAAGGAAGCCATTGCACAATGATAGGCTGAGCGTTGGAAAACCTGACTGTGTATGTCAGTTCTGTGGTGCTTTTTTTTGGTATGCTGAGCGATTGGATCGACACAGGAAATCCTTAAATCCTGTGTATAGTCTTTGTTGTCAGAAAGGAAGAGTTTGCATTCCCCTATTAAAGCCACCACCTCCATTGCTTGCTCAGCTGTTGGATCTTAATGGAGGTGCAATGTCAAAACATTTTAGAGACAACATTAGACCCTACAATGGTTCTTTGTGTTTCACATCTTTTGGAGCCAAACAGGATCCACGCTCTTTGACAACAAGAGGACCTTATTCGATGGTTATTTGTGGTGAGAATTACCATAGGATTGGATCCTTACTTCCAGTTGATGGAAATAGGCCAAAGTTTGCTCAGCTATATATATTTGAACCTGAAAATGAGGTTAACAATAGACTTGCAAACTTCGCATCTCGAGAGGAAGTCTTGCTGCCTGAGTTACTTACAAGTTTGCTTCGAATGCTTGATGAAAACAACGAGTTGGTCAGAACATTTAGGCGCATTCGACAAGATCTCCAGCTTTCTTCCACACCAAATCTCCGACTCAGAATCTTTGCGATCAAAAGTAGGAATCGACAATATGACCTGCCAACTAGCTCTGATATTGCAGCCTTAATACCTGGTGATTTTGCTGCAGATACGGAGGATAGAGATATCATTGTTGACCATCGAGGAGAAGGGCTGAAACGTATAACAAGCCTCAACCCAAAATTCGAGGCTCTTCACTTCCCATTGCTATTCCCGTACGGAGAAGATGGGTTTCATCCTCAAATATCTTATAATGCCTCCTTTTGTCCAGCATCAATGCGCAGAAAATTTGTTACTCAAAAAGAGTATTATGCTTTTAGACTTCAGTATCGATTGAATGAGGGGCATACACTGGTTCAAAGTGGCAAGGCATTACAACATTACTGTGTTGATGCATTTTCAACAATTGAACTCAATCGACTGGCATTTCTTAGAACTCATCAAAAAGATTTAAGAGCAGAAGTTTATCAGGGATTACAGGATGCATTTGCAAAGGGAGACATGGATGGAGAAAAACTTGGAAGAATTATAATGCCATCATCTTATACAGGAGGACCAAGATATATGCAGCAACTTTATCATGATGCTATGGCAACCTGTCAACATTATGGTAACCCAGATTTATTTGTTACATTTACCTGCAATGCTCTTTGGGAAGAAATTGTTGACGCTTTTGCAGATATGGTTGGACCAAACAGCGAGTTGAAGCCTATGGTGGTCTGCCGTGTGTTTCACATGAAGCTTGCCATATTAATTGACCAGTTTAAAAGAGAATCATATTTCGGAAAAACGATAGCCAGTGAGTTGCCTGTAGATAACCTTTCACTGTATAAAATTTCTTTTATTATTTGAATGAGCTATCAAGTTCAAATGATGGACTGTTTTTTCGCAGTAATCTACACAGTTGAGTTTCGGAAGAGGGGCCTCCCACATGTCCATATGCTTATATGGTTAGCCAAAGAGGATAAACTAAAGTCAACATCTGACATTGATGAGATGATTTCTGCAGAGATACCAGACCCCAATCTAGATCCAGAAGGGTATGCTGCAGTGGTTAAGTTCATGATTCATGGACCTTGTGGAGTTAACAACCCCACTTCACCATGTATGAAAGATGGTAAATGTTCGAAGTATTTTCCAAAAGAATTCTGTTCAGAAACTTCGTTCGACAAGTTTGGCAATGTCGTGTACAGAAGAAGAAATTCAGGCATTCAAGTTCAAAAAGGAAAGGCAATGCTGGATAATAGATATGTCGTTCCATACAATCGGAACTTATTGGTTAGAGCTCAAGCCCATATTAATGTGGAGATATGTCACAAGGTAGGGTTAGTGAAGTACTTATTTAATACATTACTAAAGGACCAGATAGATCTCTTATTGTTGCAGAAGACTCAACAAGCTCAGTTCAGGTACCATCAAATATAACAAAAAAAACCAAAGACGAGATACAAGAGTTCATTGATTGCAGGTCGCTGTCCTCCTACGAAGCTATATGGAGAATCAACGAGTATTCTATACACCACAGAGAGCCTAATGTGGTTCGACTTGGTGTACACCTGGATGGACAACAGAATGTTTCATACAAGAGAAGGTCAAATATCCAAAATGTTTTGCAAAATCCAAGGGCAGGTAAAACTCATCTTACTTCATGGTTTGAACTTAACAGACATGATTGCAATGCAAGAAAGTTTACATATGCTCAAATACCAAATTCCTTTACATGGAATGAAGAATACAGTGAATGGACTCCAAGGAAAAGAGGTTTCGCAATAGGAAGGATAGCATATGTTCCTCCAGGAAGTGATGATATATTATTTCTTAGGCTGCTATTGACCAAAGTAAGAGGAGCAACATGCTTCCTCAATTTAAGAACAATACAAGGGGAGGTTTGTAGTACTTGCGAAAGAGCATGCCAAAAGTTGGGGCTTCTGTCGGACTCTTCAGAAGGGATTCAGGTATTACAAGAAATTGCAGCATCAAGTATGCCACACATAATACGGACTACATTTGTTTCAATGCTGATGTTCTGCGAAATACCTGACCCTAATGCTCTATTTGAATCTTCATGGAGGTTAATGAGTGAAGATCATGTTTATTCTCTTCGTAAACAGCTACACTAAAAAACTTTCCAGCCTTCAGATGAGAGACTTAAGAATTGGGTGTTACATCAACTGGAAACTTTACTAAGGACTTATGGTTCTTCACTTCAGCAATTACATCTCCCAAGACCGACAGATTCAGAACCTGACGATGGATCAAATCCCCTGATTAATGAGCATCTTAACTTTGATGATGATCAACAAAGGTTACTGGCAAATACTATGGTTAGCAAACTGAACACAAAACAGCTAGAGGCTTTCACACTCATTATTCTCTCTATCAACAACAACCTTGGCAGTTCATTTTTCCTATATGGCCATGGAGGAACAGGCAAGGATTTTCTCTACAATGCAATCATTGCAAAATTAAAAAGTCTTTCCAGAATTGCTATAGTTGTTGCCTCATCTGGAATAGCAGCCACACTACTACCAAACGGCACAACTACTCATTCAAGGTTCAAGATTCCCCTTCATATAGACCATGCATCTACATGTTCCATAAAGAAAGGTACTCATTTAGCTGAGCTAATACGTGCAGCTTCATTGATTATCTGGGACGAAGCACCGATGACACATCGAAATGCATTTGAGGCTATAAGCAGGACGTTTTGTGATTTGATGGACATACCACTATCAGGTCCAAAACACAAGTTGTTTGGAGGAAAAACAGTAGTCTTTGGTGGTGATTTTAGACTGACTCTACCAGTAATTTCAGATTCGGGAAGGGAACAAACAGTTGATGGATCCATCACGAGGTCATCGTTGTGGCCCTTTTTTAAGGTGCTCAAACTGTCAAGGAACATGAGGCTTAATGATTCACAAGATAATAGAAACCTGGTCGGCTGTGGAATGGACTTTGGTGAGTGGATTCTGGCGCTGGGAGATGGAAGGCTGCCAACAAAATCTTTTATGGCAAACACACCTTCAGATTGGATTGAGATACCACAAATACTCTTGATATATGCTGGAAAAAATCCAATCGAGTCAATCACAAATGACATATATGACGCATTTGAGGAACAACACATGAGCACAGATTACCTAAGTGGAAGGACAATCGTTACTCCTACTAATGCAGTTGTGACTGAAGTGAATGACTTCATGTTGCAAAAAATTCCTGGACATTGTCGTTGCTACTACAGTTCAGACTCTATGCAACTTGATACAGAGGTACCTCAGCTATTTGCTGAAACTTACCCAACAGAATTTTTGAATGCTCTTCAGTTCAATGGTGTTCCAGATCATGAAATAAGACTTAAGGTTCACACTCCAATCATGTTGCTGAGAAATTTGAGCCCACCAAACGGCCTATGCAACGGTACGAGGATATTGATTACGAAATTGGGGGAAAATATCATTGTAGGAAACATCATGGGAGGATCTTTTGACACAAAAGAGGTTGTTATACCACGAATAGTACTCAACGTAGAAGACAAACGTTGGCCCTTTATACTGAAGAGGAGGCAATTCCCAGTACGTTTATGTTATGGGATGACAATAAATAAGAGCCAAGGCCAAATGCTGGACAAGGTTGGAGTCTATTTGCCTAAACCAGTATTCAGTCATGGACAGCTTTATGTGGCAGCATCAAGAGTAAGATCTGCAGGTGGTTTGAGATTCTTGATTGAAAATGAAGAGGACATTCCAGCCAATTACACAAGAAACATTGTATATTCAGAAGCCTTCACAGATATTGCACCTGCTTAATTTTGCAAGCATCGAAGAAGCTCGAAGTGATTATTATGAACTCTCCCAACTTTTTGAATTTTACGCCTGGAAAAATTTGTTCTTCCAGTTCTTGCGTTGTTCTTAACAAGAGACACATTTTGTGTTTTTTATTTCGAAACTCAAAGCTAGAAAGCAGTCATGAGTTTTTATCAGTTAACATCGGTTCGGACTTTCCAGAGAGAACTTAGAAAGAAATTCGATGAGCCCAACTGATACAATTTGACAGAACAATCAGCGCAGGAGCGTATTGTAGCCTTTTCTGTAAAAAGGCCTGATTCAACAGTTAGAACCCATTGCATATCATACAGAGCCCAAACACGATGTCAAGGCCCAAACAATCGATCCAAAAAGGACTTACCCTAAGTTAACCCTAGCTTACATAAACTACCGATTGTTTTTTATGCCTTCTAGAATCGGCTGCGCAGTCAAGATACAAGAAAAAAGGGAAACCAGGGTCTCGAAGAACTGGAAGCTTTCTTCTACCCAACAGATTTACAGTTGTATAGTACAACTGATACGTGAGCTTTCATGGACCTACACAAAATGGAATCTTTGAGGAATAAGCATCAAACTACAAATCGCGATTGTGTGGTCCCGAACGAACTGAAAGGTAAATACATTGAATCTGGAAAGAAATCCAACAAACGCATCTCGATTCCTATGCGAGTTTTTTCCATTTATTATTTATCGATTCGTCTTTATTCGCGTTGCAGATTCCATTGATGCAAGCATGTGCTTTCGGGGACTACGTTTGGGAACAAACAATCGAACCGTTATAGCTAGACATGTCGTTACATGGTCTGAGTTCCGAGAAGTGCCTTTATCCACATGGAAGAAAATGACACATCACATGCTCTGGCTTGACAAAAAGGTTTGGGTCCAGATACCCCAACCATATTCATAAATATTCGTCAGAGCATTTGATTCAGTGTTAAGACAAAAGAACTTGCCAGTATACAAACCCTAAACATCAATTAACCTACTGGCGAATGCTAAAAGATCAAAAACTCTTGACAACATATCTATCTACCATTGACTTTACAGAACAAGTTGATCGAAGCTCAGGTTGAAGAAGAAGATGCAGCTGAAGTTTTTAAGAAAATCAAGGTTGGCTGCCTGCATGAACTACAAGATATTGTGGCAGGTCCAGCAAGGTCAGTGCAACGCATTGTCCATCGAGAGTTCCGCCTGCTCCTCACTTCAGATCAAATTAGGAGGCACATTGAAGAAGGATATGGACCCTAGCAATTTCCAGTAGGATCATACACAGCAGCCGATTTTTCCATTGTGCCTCAAACATCAGAAGACTTTGTCTGCCATTCAGGTAAATATATGTCTCTCTATCCATGATTAAGAACACCATTAAACAAAGCATAACAAACATTAAATCTGTAGATGTTACAGGATGTGTTAGAAGACTAACTCATCCAGAAATAATTAAAGGAAGGATTCAGAAATTCGACCTGGTCATACAAGATGTCTGGTATGCTCTTAAGATTGTACACTTTTTTTTACTTTGTAAAAATGTATAGTTAACGCATTGCTTTGCAATCAGTGGGGCAAAGGCTTATGTTGAATACAGTGGGCATGACATTGATGATTTTCAAAAGCATGCTCCAGCAATGGAGTCAAAGTTACCATTGATTGTGACAATCAAATCAGTTAGTAGAGTAACTCCTAGACATGACAGTAAATATCAGCACGAATTTCGATCCACAATTGCAAGTAAGCTCATCATTCATTCTTATCAGGACTGCTGCAAGGATATCATGAACATGTGAGTTGCTGTATATGGGTTTACCCAACTTATTGGTTCAACCACTATCGAGTTAGTGATACTTACACATTTCTTTTCAACATGTAGCTTTCTTGCATGTCGCAAACCAGTTTACTTCATCGATAATGCTACTTGCAAAAAAACTGGACACCTGCTGAGCAATCAACTGCAAAAGAAATCGCTGAGAGAGATAAAAGAAAGGATGGAGGACCTGTCAGATTTCACAGAGCTATACGAACAAACACCAGCATTGACATCAGCTGTATATTTCCATCTGTTTACCTGTATAATACATCTGACATTTTATGCAACAGGTTACTTACATGACATTGATTAACATTCCAAGGTTTATATACAGAAAAAGCATCTGCAAAATTCGTGAAGAGAACACATGGTAAACTTTTGACCATCCTCCCATGTTTACACATGCGATAATAATACTCTTTGTATAAACCTAACAAAAAGATCTTTATTGCAAGACTGACATACAAACTGGAAGGGAAATGTCGCCAAGGAGGATCTGAAATAGATGTGGTGTTTGAGCATGAAGCAGCTCTGTCACTTATTCGTAAGTCACCGTCAGATTATCAGTTTCTAAAGAAGGACCAAATCATAGAATTGATCGCAAAGAACTGTAAGAAAAAATTTGCGGCGGAATTGAACGTTGCATGTAAAAAAGTGGGGGACAGTGATTCAGACATGCAACCAAAAGCGACAGTGCTCACCCTGTGGGACCGATCAGCATTCGAGAAATGATGTTGTCCTTTGAAGCTTGCCATTTTGATATCGTGCAAACCACAAAGGCACGAAACTTCTGAAAACATTTTGTCCTGCTGTTTTCCGAATCTTCAGTCTCCGCCATGGAACTTTTATTAGTTTAGTAGATATATCGTGGAAAACTTGGACACACTCCTAACTACATTTATGTTTATTCTGCAAACCCAGTCAATCTTTTGCATAATGACCGCAGTGACGACATTTATGTCTATATTTAGGACATAACGATTATGATTATAGATTATATTAAATCCCATTGAAATTATGACAGAATTAGTATCCCGCGGCGGAGCGCGGGCTGAATCCTAGTAGACTATAAAGAACTATGGTATATATATTAACCTTATACATTATATAACTAATGCTATATTTTACATAAATCAATGTAAACATTAATAAAATTCAATATAAATATATACGTTTATTTTTATGTATCTAATTGTTTATTATTAGTTACAAATTTCTAACTATAAATTATTTTGTATGCATTAACTCTTATAATTGCTTCTTCATAACTAATTTATTTGGTATTGATGATTTTTATTTTTTCTTATGTATATTATTAACCGGCCTAACTGGCATAAACACTAATTGTACCACAGTTGGACCATTACACTTGCAAAATCGACGCACCAGCATAAACCGGTTTGACAACCGTGTCATTAACTCAATTATGAGGACAAGGTGAACTAAGATGCACAACTTAACATATGATCTTCTCGCCTCAACTTTATTTGTTACATAGAGCATATTTCTTGTTTTCTGAGTATTGTGTCTTAAGATCTAGCTCCTATCTCTTATAGTAGAGTTTTGTATTTCAATGTATGAGTCATTTGGTTTGTATTGTATGGCAAAGGTTCTTTCCGTCACTTTCGTGTTTGGATGCAAGCACGATGGTTTTCACTCTCAAGAATGGGTAATTATGAAGGACGTCCTCTCCTTTTCTTGCTCTATATTTGTCAGTTTCATGTCTTTTTGCTCTCCAGAACTTTTAGAGAGTTGCCCATTAATTCGAGTATAAATGTACACATTTTACCCCCGTTTTACTTAGATGTTTGAGGCACTTTTACTCTATGAGGATCGGTTACGCTAGGTTGTGCTTGTTTTGAGTATATTTCACATCCTAGCAGGTGAAATCAACCCATGGAACGAAAGTTGTACGAAGAGGGGAAAAAACGGGTCAAAAGAGCACAAACAACGACAGTTCCCAGTGGAGGCCAAAACATCAGTGTCAGCTAGACCGTGAAGAAGAGGCGCAGGTCATGAAGCGCGAGGAGTCCAGGAGGGTTTTGTCTGTCTCGCGGGCATTCAGCAATTCACGGCCACCAGACCGTGATAACCAGCTCCAGACCGTGAAGCACCAAAATGAAACAATGGGCATTTGCAGAACATCACGGCCCATGCCAATAGTTCACAACCGTAAACTGGGATCGTGAATAGTAGTCGATCTGGGCATAAAAGGAGGGTTGAGCTGAAACAGAAAAGGGAGAGAACCTAGTGTGAGAAACATCTTCTTCCTCAGATTTCTAGAGTGACAAAGGGACGAACAAGAGAAGAAGAGAAGTTAGGGTTTCATCCAAGCTCCAAGATTTGGATTCTAATCCTCAAAATTTGATCTCCACACCAAAGGAAGAAGACAACCCTCTCATGATGGTCTATTCTATTCTCCTTTGTGTAATCCCACTTCTTAGCATGGAATGGTCCTTTCTTTCACTTTGGTGTTAGTATACCCTAGCTAGAATTATGTGAATGCTTGTACAGATTGAATGATTTGTGTGTGGTTGTGTTAATACAAGTTTTGAGGTATTTTATGAAGGTTGTGTTATGTTTTTGCATTTCCAACTCTTATGCCAATTTGACCTAGGTAGAGGGAAATCCCCTTCTTGCTAAGAGGCTTGTAAAAGCTGGAATTCCTTGGCCAAATTGTGTCACCTACTTATGTTGAATTAGGGCAAACCTCTTAATACGTATTAGCACATTGGATATGTTGTAGTTTGGCCGTCCAAACTACGGTTCGAGGGAGAAGGCTAAGCAACCCTTAGACGATTGGCCAAGAGAGCTACCTTGTTAGCTCGATTCGAAATCCCTTGGCCTAGTGACCGAGAGAGTGACGTTTGTTCACTTGTTGTGCTTTCATGTGGTTTATAACCGCCTTTACCACAAATTTGCATTCGATCCGACAAATCATGATTGCTAGCTAGGGGGAGGAACACCCGTGTGAAGCCTTCTCAATTAGTGTTCAAAACCATTTATTTTTCCGATTTCTTTCAATTTTAGTTCATAGTTTCAACCAAAACTCGATTGCTAGATAATGTTTCAAACAATTGAAGTAGGGGTACATGGACCGACCCGAGTTTGACTTTGAAAATATACCTGTCCTTCATTGCACCCGGTTAAGGTTTATACTTGGGCCTTAATTGAGATT